CATTCCTGTTTGAGGTGCAGTGACGTTTAAGGGCCCGGAGATCACCAGCATCCAGTAGAGTTTTACGGCCTTGACCCTTACGCACAGCGATTGTTCCAGATTCTCTGAATCTTTTGATGATGATATGCACAATTGATGATGATAACTTAAAAGTCTTTGCTATTTTACGCTGGGTAACACCATTCTGGTATTGCTGCACTATCTTTCTGCGCAACAATGGTGGAATTGGTGATCCTCTTACCATCTTGGCTTCTGAGAGACACTAACACTCTGAGAAGCTCTTTTTATACCCAATCATGTTGTCAATTGACCTAATTAGTGTTAATTGATTAAACTTTTGATCTGTCATCTATGTTATATTACGAATAAAATATTGACATTTGCCATGTCCACATCATTGCATTCAGTTTTTATTCACAATTTGTTTAGTGTCCCAACTTTTTTGGAATCCGGTTTGTATATATATATTTTTATCCTTTTCATTTGTATTACAGAAACAACACATTGGACCATGTTGAATCATTGTGCTGAAATTAGACAGGATGAGAAATTTATCATTTTATTTCACATGGACCAAGTTCTTCCTTTAAGTCTCAGTAGTTTGTTGCCTTTCTGTGCAACTTAAAAATAAGTGAATTTTGCTACGCATCAAGATTGAGATGATTAAACACATTTTTACTTCATGTTTTTAACTTTTGATTAAAAGTATATTTATTATTTTTCAGGTGTAACCAGTGCCATTACTAATCATTTTATTCAATCAGAGAAGCAGTGACCGGCTATAAAACCTGTAAAATGTTAGTGGAATACTGTTTTTATAAAATTTACTTTGGCATTCAGTGTAAAAATGTAAAATACTGTATATTAGCTCAGCGTATCAAACGACACAATGTTAAAAATTGATGAAGGTGCGTAATGTATTTTTATTTATTCATCTTTTTTAGTCTCCTCGTGACTCAATGAGACTAATTATAAATAAAGGTTGGGTGAAAACAAAACAGTCACGTTTAAACATAAAGAAGCCGGGTTTTATTGAAAGGTTTGTATTTAATTATTTCTGTTGCTTCATTCTTTAAATATTTAGGAAGTAAATGAGCTGTGGTTCATCGGTTGAATCGGAGATTTATTTAAAGATATTGCATTAATTTTATGCCATAAAAGACACTTCTCATAACGTCTAAACAACTTGTTTTAAATCACCGTTATTCAGTTTCACTTTTTTCTTTCAAATAGACCAACAAAAAAAGAAAGAAACCCAGACTTTTGCAGAGTACCTAAAAATGTTTATTAGTTTAAAAAGTGTTTTTAAAAAACGTACCAATAAGCACTTCCCCTTAAAAAAGCAACAGCTAAAATGCAAAATAAAATAAAATGTAAAAAGCCACAGCAAAAATAATTTAAAGTGGAGAGAAGCTCTGCTGCCTTGAACCACTTACAAGAGGAAGGGTAAAAATCTTCATTAAACATTAGTGCTAACAAACACACCGGTAAATATCCAAACACAGACAACAGAATAAATAATAAATAAGTAAAGCTTGTTTAACGTCCTACATTATGATTCTGAGTCAAAACCATTTCTTGCTACAATTAAAAAGTCGACTTTTGGCTGTTAGTCAGATTTTGCATTTTTAATGTATCCAGACATTAATCTTGGAGCATATTTAGTGCCATTTTGAAACAAGTGCAACATCCAGTTTTAAAAGATTAGAGTTAAAGCCTCTCATTACAGACCACATGTTGACAAACTAAAAAAAACAAAGTAAAATATATGAAACATGTCGTGAGGCGACGCCGAGAAGAAACGCAGGTCACACAACTACACGAGGTTGTTAAAGGCTACACAAACGACACGCTGCAAATAAAACGCTGAAAACTAACCACACTTCAGTCTGTACAGAGTGCAGCAAAGAAACAGTCCATCAATAAGTTACAGTGGTTTTGACCTCTAAAATACATTTATCTGCTGTTTTAACAAAAGCAACAAAGAGACTGCGTTTTAGAGACAGACGTCTTTCCAGTGCTGTAAATATTTCTCGTCCCCTCTTCTTGTTAGACAAAGCTGTCATCCTCAGTTTGCACGTCACAGTAAGAGGAGGTTCAGTCACATTATCGACGGTGTAGTGCACGTCGCCGTGGGTCAGATCTTTGGCATGGACGTAAGGCTCAGAAACAGAAGCGTCTTCGGCTCGGGGGTTGCAGGGTTCGTTCACACGGCGTGTAAAGCTTCACATTTAGGCGACTCCTCGACAAGAACAGCCTCACAGTATTGACCTCAGCAGATTGTCAGTGCAGTACAACAAGTATTAAAGATTATCTTGCAAATAAAATTAAAAAACCTTTCTCAAACTATCCACCAAAGCTAAGTCAGGTCCTCTGGACGGTTTCTTCTTGTCTAAACGTTTCGTACTTCACCAGTAAGAGGAGCCACAACAAACTCAGTCTTATAAAAAGCACCTTCTCATATTGGGTCAACCAGTTGGATGGTGCTCAGATGGTTTCTGGAGTTAGAAACCCCAGAAACTTTGATATTTTGAACCACTTTGGCCATGAAAACCTCAAATGAGTTGACGGGGGAGAGGGCGGACTCCAGACACCGTCTGACCACCATCAAACTGGTTGATCCACTACGCAAGGATATATAAGACTGAGCTTGTTGTGGCTCCTTGGACTGATGAAGTCTTTTGGATGAAAGACAAAACATTTAAAAAAAATAATCTGTTCAGAGGACCTGACTTAACTTTGTTGGATTTTTTTACCTGGATTGTTGAGCATGAACTTTGATATTTTCTGACTGTCGGTGTCTTGGACCACTTTGATTACAACGTGACTTTGCATTGTTTCAAAAAGCTTTTAGTCTCTCACCGACTTCCTTTAATCTTTTTGAAATTATATTTTATCAATAGAAGAGTTGGATTGCTGTGTAGTTTCTGTTAAACCCCAAATATTCTCAGAGGGATTAGGGGTTTCTTCATGTGCAAAAAGTTTCCTGGACCTCTAAATCCAACTATTTGACTTCCTCACCACATGAGCTGGTTCACTGAACCATCTCACTGAATCATTTCAGGCCAAACACAACAATCACGGCAGTGGAAGACTCTTTTCTGTTCGTCAAACTGAGGCGGCGACAGTCTTTGACCGGGCAGTGCACGTTTATGTTTGAGTGCAATCATTTAAAATTACATACATTTGCACAAAATACATGAAAGAAAATTAACTATTTTAAAGTTCTCTCTTCAAAAGTACAAGATTTCCCCTTTTAGTGTTTTTTCAGTAAATAAATGGCTTTATTTGAAACATATTTGTTTCAAGTCCAGTGTTGGTGATTGTTGCTCATGACGTAAACTGAACCACCGTATACATCCTTAAAGCTATTTTAAAGGGATTGCTGCCAGACAGACCTGCCCTTATTTGCTTTATATCACATTATGCATATTTTTTACTCAAATAACTTCATTTGCATAAAACAGTAGTTTTAAGGGATGTCTCAGCATCTTTGCATCTGTAAAAAGCATGAAATGTGCATAAAGAGGCCCAATTACATTATTGCCAACATCTACTTACACTTACCCATAAACTGTTTTAGATAAAGTTGGAAACAACCATTTAGGCTAGGCCTGTCACGATAACAAATTTTGCTGGGCGATTAATTGTCTCAGAAATGATTGCGATAAACGATAATATTGTTTGAAATTTGACAATAGTTAGTAATTATTGTCAAATTTAAAGAGAAATTGTTAATTTGTAGTACCTTTCTTGACCACCACATGGCATTAGACTGTTTGAACTGAAGGATGGATAGTGAGCAGTGTGTCTCTAAGAAAAATGGGAGGGAGGCCCCTCGACATGACATGGGCTGTGTCGCATTCCTTTTTTTTTCGGTTCTCAAAATGGCGGACACTTGGTGTGTGGTTTGAGCTTTTTAGCATAATATTTTTCACACAAAGCTTTTAATAAAAATATCAGTAAACAAGTTCTCAGCTTCTTTTTGCAGAGAAAAACAACTTTTTAGACAAAGGTACGGGATTCAACTGTGAATTTTGGAGCTTCGACAAGACAGAGTTTTTTCCCCCGGAGTTCGGCCTGTTAGCTTAGCTCGTAGCTTAGCTGCTTTTAACGATCCAAAAAATGCGATTTTGGACGGTTATAACAGATTTTAAAGAGAAAGGGAGGGGTCAGTGAAGAGCACCGGAGCTGAGCCTTTTGTCGTCCAGTGTCTTCAGTAGAAAGAGACACGAAGAAACGATAAAGCCGATAAAAGAAAACGAGGTCGATAATTTTCATTTATCGTGCAATTAATTGATTTATTGTTTATCGCGACAGGCCTAAATTTTAACTTCCATTTGTTGTTCCTGAAAAGTGTATTTATTCATATGTTATTTGATTTTATTCAAACAAAGTGCAAATTTGATAAAAGAAACTTTTAGGAATTAATAAATAGAACACAATAGCCAGTGTATTACTATATTACGAGTCCAAGAGTATATTAAATAGATTTGCATGATTGATTTTGGTTGTTTTTGTCACTACGAGTCAATAAATTGTATTTTACACAAACTAACGTTAGTTTTTGTTAATATCTGAAGTTTTTTTAGTCTACATAACACACAACTCTCTCAGTTACAGTATAAATATTAGTCCAGCATAGTTTGATTTATGACCATAAATGATCTAATTGCAGCTGCCAAGCTTTGAACACCATGACAGTTATTATTCAGAGAAATATTAGGTTTAGGATGAAGCTTTGAAACATTTGTCCGCTTGTTTGTAATGCTTTTGATGAAACAACATGAGGTGTTTTTCTCCATCTTTAAAGAGCAATGACCAGCATTTTACTCAGTGTTGCAGCATGATGTCAGTTCAGTCAGCCTGGCACTTCAAACTGGACAGAGCTCAGTGTCCAGTGTTGCTATTTACAATAAAAACGAGTGAAAATAAATAAAGCGCACACACCACAGATGAACATTTTCAACATGACAGGGACAACACAAACAGAATAGTCGTCAGCCCATTAACCCAACAGCTGGGTGATCCTTGCTTTCTAACCATTCGAGTCCGCCTGAATGTGGCGTCTCGCTCATTTGCTGGAACAGCTCCTCCGCTGCAGCGTTTTCAAACTTGCTTTGCTGCTGGTTGGGGTCAAACAGCAGGTTTGTGTCCAGCGCGTTCAGGTCATTGATGCTGCTGGAAAGCTCCGATGTCATTCTGATTTCACAGGGGAAATCAGGCCCTCCAGCAGTCAGCTCAGATACCTGATCCAGGAGGTGACTTCCTGCAGCGAGGCTGCCGTCTGTCAGGAGGTGCCGTGCGCTGCCGAAATCTATCTGCTGCTGCGAGCTCAAAGCTAACATTAAAGACTGATGCTGCTCTCCAGAGGCTGCATGGCTGTTGCCTGCTGAGAGAATCATGTCTTTATTAACGGTACTTTCTAAGATGTAATTTGGCCTCTGTGAGGTACAGCTGCTTGCAGAGTTGGGCGTCATCAGGTTCATCTGGTTATCAGAGCAGGGGAGGCTGGGCTTGGACTCCAGGATTTGGGTGAGGTTCATCCGTGCCGTGTAGGTGGAAGGTAAATTATGTATGCCTAAACCTCGCATCGAGTCACCGTTGTCCCCTTCCAGCTTGTTAAGTAGGACACTGGTGATGTTTTGGCTGCTGCACGGGTGGTTCGGTGCAGGCAGGACTTCAGATTGCATCATGACGTTGAGCGGCACCGAGCGGCTCCTCTGAGCCATGCTGCTGGCCTCGGGATTTGTCTTGCTGTTAGAAAACATGTTTAGCGCTTCTGGCATCATAGGAGAACTGAAGGGAGACACCACTGAGCGCGGGACGTTGGGGAGAGCGCTGTTCCCGCTTAGATTCTTCTGATGCACTGCTGGGCTCACGCTGCGACATCGGAAAGCTGCAGCGGATGTGCTGGAGGTTTTATTATCCAGAGGAGCTGGCACAGCAAAACCCTCCTGCTTGTTGGACATGCTAGCTACCTGCAGCTGCACGGGGGAGATGGGGGTCAAGCGGCCACAGTGGCTGTCGTGGTGGCGTGCATGAGGAACAGCAAAGGCATGAGGCTTCTGAAAATGCTCGTCTATCAGGCCTTGGTATCCGGTGAGAATTCCCACTCCGCTGTTTGACTTGTTTATGGTCCCACCGCCACCAGTGCTGCTGCTGTAGCTGTTACTCATCCACTCCAGCCTCGCCTTGTCCGGGTGGGTGGCCATCGGCCTCTGCATGGGTTTGACCGGGCTGCGGGAGATGGCGGTGTTTTCGTGGAAGCACGTCATGCTGGAGTTAATGGGCATGAACGCAAAAGGGTTCCTGCACTCCACCGGACTCGGAGGAATGTTGCTGCTGCAGCTGGAGTGAGGGTTTCCCACTGGGGTGTGTCGGCTGCTTCCCAGAGCGCTGTCCACTGGGGTCGTGGAGGCAATATGAGAGCAGGGGCTCTCATTGGTAAAGTTTTGGACTCCTCCCATCATCTCTGATGTGGGTGTGGGGGTGTGGATCAGGTGGCTGCTGTTGCTCGCAGCATGATAGAAGGCAGTCGTGGCCTGATTGGTGGATGTTATGTTGTCTGGCATCAGAGCGTGCTGGCCTTGAAGGGTGCCACAGTTTCCAAACTGCTGCAGCTGTTTAAGCTTCATCTGCTCCTCCATCTGAACCAGCTCCTCCACAATGCTGTCCTGAGTCACATCGTCATCGAAGGAAAAGTAGTCCATGTGTTTCTGTGCCGCGAGCTGACTGGATGACGCTTGGTTTAAAAACTGCAGGGCGTCGTTGGCAGGATCACACTGAGCGTATGTCTGGTGTTGACCTCCTTCCAGGTTTCCTGTGATTGAGTGTGAACATGTGCGTCTCTGAAAACCAGCGTCAGCGACATACACGTTACCCATTGTGTGCGCTGGCTGTTCTTGTACGGATACGTCACCGACTGATGTGCCAGTTTCCATAACAATGGAAGTGTTGCTCCTCAGCGTTGAGCTATGTGTTTTGGCAACAGGGTCAAAGCAGCTAGCTCTGACAGAGGAAGTGCTTTGTGTGTCAACTTGAGCGGATAAGACGGAGCTCATTTTCATGTCTACATTCTGCATGACTGGTGCACTTTCAGGTCTACCTGTTGCACCTGAGCTGGAGACAGAACCAGCCATGCTTTTGAAACTGTACTGAAGAGCGCCATCTACTGGCTGCTGCGGTATAAAAACCCTTTTGAGTGGGGAAAGGTCTGGACTGAGGCCTGAGCGTTTCCTGGGGCTCTTCGTTGATAAGAAACGTTGCTCTGCTTGGAGGCCTTCAAACGATGATAGTCTGCTGGTGTTTCCTGAAGGAACAGTGCTGGTGTTCTGAGTGGGAGAAGATAAGTGCAAAGTGCTTGTTTTAGTTGAGCTGTTATTGCTGCTTTGAGCCACAGTGTTGGTGCCTGATGAAGACCTTCCACTGCTGCTACTGTTAGATATTTCCTCCAGACCAAGGAAGCCTTTAGTTTGAGGTATGGGCACGCTGGCAGCTCTCTGTACTGCACCTATAGCCCTATTTGCTCCTTGGGTCAGAACTCGACTGCTGGAATTTTGCATCTGGCTGCTCTTATGTATAGCTTCAACTTCCATCTCAACATCCATGCCCTGAGGGTCGATGATCGGCCCGGGCTCGGCCACCGGCGCCACAATGGGCACAGCAGATGTGATGCCTGCAGATGTGGGCTGCAGAGTGGCGTTTGTAAGAGTTGTGGTTTCCCTGCTCGTAGGAGCCAGTGATATCGCTGCCATCTTAACCAAACTCACTGGGCTAACATGACATGTAGTCATCACAGTCTTGATGGGACTGTTGGTGATGATCATGGTTGAGGGCGAGCGCAGGGTGATCGCAGAGGTGACCGAAGGTTTGGGCAGGATCTGAGCGTAGCGCTGCCGAGCTGTGCGCTCACCCACTGGACTGGTCAGAATGGTTTGGACCGGTTTGGGACCCTGTTTGACAGCTTGAAGTGGCTGCGACACCATTTGGAAGTTAAAAGGCAGAACTTTGCTCTCCACTGCTCCCACAGGACTCGCTGACATCAGCTGGCTGTTCTTCTGCACCTGCAGAGGAAAGACAATCACATCAGTAAAGCAAAGTTTTAGACATCACTGTGGAAAATCTGCTAGTTAAACTTCACATTTTCTATGTACAGTACTGTGCAAAACATACAAAACAGCTAGTGTTTTTGATATTTTGCTTCCAGGAAAAATACTTTTATGTAAAATGAACGAAAATGCTGCCAATGTCCAAAGAAAAAACTTGTTTCTCAGAAAGTCTGAAGAACTTTTGACCAAGACTGGTTTAAAATATATTCCAAAAGATTCTGCCTTGATGGAATCAAAACATAAAGAAAGGTGTTGCTATATAGAAATGTTAACTATGATAATCCACCGCAAAATGTAACTTAATTTATTCAGTAGTTGTTTTTTTGTTGTTGTTGTTGAGAAAAATAAAACACCAAAGCAGACAATAATAACTCGTGGCTGAGTTTAGGGTTATTAAAAAAATTAACGTTACTGCAAGTTGGAGATGCACCTTCATGACTGATGTTTATGTCACTAATGTGACGTTAAATACAATCCTACGGCCAGACGAGGCTTTACATCCACACATACATTACATACGTAGATTAACTGTTTGTTTCTGCGATGTACGATAAGAAAGGCGTTTTCTCACCGTGATGGGGCTCGGGACAGCTGCGACCACAATGCCAATAGTTGGTTGTGGCGAGGGAGTGGTGGGGCTGCTGCAAGGCACGACGTCCTCTACCCTCTTAGTCGGACCGTCTCCAGGTAGAGGAGAGTGCAGCTTCTGCTCCTGTTGCTTCCTCTGAATCTTCCTCTGCAGCTGCTGCTTTGCATCCACACACGGTGACGAAAACATCGTCACCTGAGGCTGAAAGGGATGAGCCTCTGACGTGGGAACGAAGGCTGAAATGGTCTGAGGTGGTTTGGCCTCTGAAACGATAAGACAACATTTGTTTTGCTCTTTTACCTTCTATAAAATATTACTATGAAAAAAAACAACTTTCAACTTACACTACATTGCCAAAAGTATTTTCTCACCCATCCAGATTATTGGAATCAGGTGTTCCAATCACTTCCACGGCCACAGGTGTATAAAATGAAGCACCTGGGCATGCAGACTGTTTTTACAAACATTTGTGAAAGAATGGGTCGCTCTCGGGAGCTCAGTGAAATCCAGCGTGGAACTGATAGGATGCCACCAGTGCAACAAATCCAGTCGTGAAATTTCCTCGCTCCTAAATATTCCACAGTCGACTGTCAGCTGTGTTATAAGAAAATGGAAGTGTTTGAGAATGACAGCAACTCAGCCACGAAGTGGTAGGTCACGTAAACTGACGGGGTCAGCGGATGCTGAAGCGCATGGTGCGAAGAGGTCGCCAACTTTCTGCAGAGTCGATCACTACAGAGCTCCAAACTTCACGGGGCCTTCAGATTAGCTCAAGAACAGTGCGCAGAGAGCTTCATGGAATGGGTTTCCATGATCGAGCAGCTGCATCCAAGCCATACATCACCAAGTGCAACGCAAAGCGTCGGATGCAGTGGTGTAGAGCACGCCACCACTGAACTCTAGAGCAGTGGAGGCGCGTTCTCTGGAGTGAAGAATCACACTTCTTCATCTGGCAATCTGATGGATGAGTCTGGGTTTGGTGGTTGCCAGGAGAACGGTACTTGTCTGACCGCATTGTGCCAAGTGTAAAGTTTGGTGGAGGGGGGATTAAGGTGTGGAGCTGTTTATCAGGAGCTGGGTTTGGCCCCTTAGTTCCAGTGAAAGGAACTCTGGCTGCTTCAGCAGACCAAGACATTTTGGACAATTCCATGCTCCCAACTTTGTGGGAACAGTTTGGAGCTCGTCCTCTTGTTGGCTCTTCCAACGTGACTGTGCACCGGTGCACAAAGCAAGGTCCATAAAGACATGGATGCAGAGTGTGGTGTGGATGAACTTGACTGGCCTGCACAGAGTCCTGACCTTAACCCTTTGGGATGAATTAGAGCAGAGACTGAGAGTCAGGCCTTCTCGTCCAACATCAGTATGTGACCTCACAAATGCACATCTGGAAGAACGCTCAAAGATCCCCATAAACACACTCCTAAACCTTGTGGACAGCCTTCCCAGAACAGTTGAAGCTGTTCTAGCTGCAAAGGGTGGACCAACGTCATTTTGAACCCTATGGATTAGGAATGGGATGTCACTTAAGCTCATGTGAGTCAAGGCAGGTGAGCGAATACTTTTGTCAATGTCGTTTATTTTGCGATGACAAGTTCTGCATATAAATGTCAATCAAACAACAAACTTGGCTCGTTTAAGGAACAAGTCTCTATTTGATAGCATTTGTCTGAATACAAGAAGTCTTCAGACACTGAACGATTGGTGTAGTAGACCAAAGCAACTAAAATATTTAAAAATGTCCACAACTCGCACAGATTTAAACCCTGAGCTTAGATTAAGCAGTACGAGCAGCAGCAGGCAGCTGCCACCAGGTGGCACCACCACCTTCTTCTAACCTTCCTACCTGTTGTGCTGGTCATTATGGTGAGAGCGGCCAGCGACTTGTTGCTGATGTAGTGGCTGTCGATCAGGAAGCGAGCCAAGTCTTCGACGGCATCAAACTGTCGTTTCAGCACCTTTTGGGCCCATTCGCACACAAGATCACAGGCTGCAAACCGCACTTCCTCCTTGATGCTGCTCAGCTGGCAGGGCGAGTCCAGCACATCACAGTGGAGCTGAACACAACGAATAAGGTTAAATAGATGGAGAAATGCAGAATTTACTGACAGAGATGAGAAACATGTTGATGTGCTTACGCCATCTGGTGTTTTATGAAGATCCAGGGTTGGTAAAGACGGCATGTGAACATATGGTCTCTTTCTAAGTCCACTGTAGCAATATGTGAGTCAGAGTTAAGACCACAAATAAACAGTGATTACATACAGAAGCACAAAATGAACAGAATCCCGAACTATTAAAGGACTTCTGACTTATGGTTTGGTTTGTTGATTTTATTTTCATTTAATTTTATATGTCTTAAAACACTAAAGGGCAAATTCGGTCTCTTTTATTGGTTATTAAATTATAATTGAAAATTCCCAGCAATGAACAGATGCAGCCCCCCAACTGTTAACATCTGATGATCAATAAGGGTGAATAAATCAATCTAAATACTGTTGATTGATAAATTCAACTAGGTGTCCCCCTTTAACGAGAACAAACAAAAGTAAAGTGTAAGTAACGCCCACCTTTCATCATCATCATCCTCTTGTTAAAAACATCATATCTCTGCTAAAACATCTACAGACTGTGATATTAAGGTTTATAAAATGGAATGGGGCTCCATTAGTAAAGTTACACTGTCACAAATTAACAGCAATATTTTGGTTTATTTAGCCTTTCATAAGAAATTTTTTTTTTTTTCCAAAGTCATATTTTCACCATGCATTTATAAATGTCATAGTTCCCAACTAAATATTTAGTTTACAAACTAAATACTTAACTTGCAAGTTAAATATTCACTTAGTAAAATAAACATTTAGTTTGTAAATTAAACATTTAATTTCCAAACTAAATATTTATTGTCCACAGAAAATATTTTATTTCCAAACTAAACATTTAATATCTAAGCTAAACATTTAATTCCTAAACTAAATATTTAATTTGCTGACTAAATATTTAACTCAGACATAAATATTTATTTTCCAAGCTAAACATTTAATTTCCTAAATAAATATTTAATTTTCTAACTAAATATTTAACTCTGACCTAAACATTTAACTTGCAAGCTAAATATTTAGGTCCGAGCTAAATATTCAGTTAGCAAATATTTAGTTTAGGAATTAAATGTTTAGCTTAGGAATTAAATATTTAGTTTGGAAATTAAGTGTTTAGTTTTGAAAATAAATATTTAGCTTAGAAATGAAATATTTAACTTATACCTAAATATTTAGTTTACTAACTAAAAATAACTAAATATTTAACTTGCAAGTTAAGTACTTAGTTTGTAAACTAAATATTTAGCTTGTAAATTAAATATTTAGCTTGAACAATAAATATTTAGTTTGGAAATTAAGTGTTTAGTTTTGAAAATAATTATTTAGCTTAGAAATTAAATAGTTAACTTACACTTAAATATTTAGTTTACTAAATAATATTTAACTTGCAAGTACTTAGTTTGTAAATTAAATATTTAGTTGGGAACTATGACATAAATGTATGAACAACATGATGAAAATGCGACTTTGAAAAAAAAAATAATAATTCTTATGAAAGGCTAAATAAACCAAAATATTGCTGTTAATTTTTGACTGTGTAACTTTACAAACAACACCCCATAAAATATTATATAATTTTGCTCATTATTCCTTTAAGAATTTACCCCTTTTCTCCAAACTGAGGTCAATCAAAGCACTATATACAACAGGTAAGATGTTTATTGTTCATAATAGCTCCCATATGAAAAGATTTGAACCATTCCTTTCCAGTTCATGAAGGTCACGGACACACACCGTTGTTTGTACTTTGACGTCACAAACGGCAGAAAAAATAAAAGTGACCACGAAGGTCAAGATCACAGAGACTCCCCGAGGGTCTGCATGATGCCTCTGAGGTGGAGGGGGGGGGGGCTTCATTTCATTTCACGTCTATATTTAGAGAGCACATGAACTGCTGCAGCAGATGGTCTGGGACCACACACACACACACACACACACACACACACACACACACACACACACACACACACACACACACACACACACACACACACACACAGCAGACAGATACAATCCATTCCAGTAAAGGATATTTGGATTTCCCTCGCATGCCGAGCCGGCGAGCCTTCATGTTCGGGAAGACGTTTTTCATCATCTTTCCGAAGTCCGCAGCGCTGAGCGAGTGGTAGTTCAGATTGTCACAGAAGCTCCTGAAACACACGTCGGCCACACATCGTGACATGTGAAGTCCAGACGATCGGCCTTCAGTGAGAGTTTGAACATCTTACAGCTCCGTGTTTCAGCTCTTTAGCTCCATGTCATTATTCAGGACCACAATAAAAACAAACATTAAGGTATCTTACAAATAAAACAAATCTCAAGTTAAAAAAATAACAACTTGCAGCGTTTTAATTAACATTTGGTGTCAACCCAATGCAAGATGGCCGCCACAGCCAAACGACCATTTAAAACCCCAAAATGTGAATTTTCCTCATGTTGGGCTGAGCCTTGGTGTGGTAGTAGCTGAGACTGACCTCCAACACATGTTTTAAGCTCTAACAGTTTGGGCCTGATCTTTATTTAAATTTTAACGTTGACAGCCCGCTCTGCCTGTTCGCAAACGAAAGAACCGCTGAAGAATTTTACTCCAACCTTCAGATCATCTACAACTGATGGAGTCAACCTAATTCAACATGGCTGACAGCCAACTAAGATGTTAAAGGAAGATAAATCATAACTCGGTCATTACAGATTCTAGTAGTAACTGAGTCACTCACAGTTTACGCTCTGAGTGTGATGTTTCTCAACAGAGGAGAAGATAGAACTTTATTGATCCCACAGGTTTTACATTATTATAGTGCATATCTTGGATCTTTTAGCGTACAGTTTGACGTTCATTTAGCGTATATCTTAGATCCTTATTTACCGTTTCTTTTTACACTTTATATTTTTGCTATTGTTGGGTGTAACTGGGACCTTGTGTACATAATTTTGTTTCACCTCATGTGATGGAAATGACAATAAAGTTGACTTGAACTTGTTGAATGATGCCAGTTTAAATGTTTAGCATGACACAACGTCCTTCAATGAGCTGATTACAGCTACCGTACTTTCCGCCGTGCATGTCGCACCGCCCTATAAGTCGCATCAGTCCAAACATGTCTAATAAAGTGGAAAAAAAAAAGGTAATAAGTCGCTTCGCCATATAAGTCACATCTATTATTAGTCACCGCTGACACGTCGCATTCGTTACGCGTCATCGCCGACAACCCAGAAACGTGGGCCGGTGTTGTGCCCAAAATCGATTGGCTGCCAAATGGCAGCCGCAGGAACGTGCACGGGAGGACTTTAACAAAAATTTAACAAGATTAACACCTAAAAACAATTATTTGTTTGCTCGAAATTATAGTAAAGGTGCGTCTCAGTTGAACTTTTACTTAATAAATGCACTTCAACAGTCAAATCAGCTGCATTTCGCCGGGGCGGCGCAGAGAAATGAAGCTGATTTGACTGTTGCTCCAGGCGAGCTGGATGAAGGTGTCAGACTATGGCAAGCCGATTGTGTCATTAATAGGCACTTTTCCCTATTACGTGACACAACAGCATGCCAAACAATCAAGTGCCATCTATCGGTTGAAAATGGTAGTGTTCAACATTTTACAATGTCAGAATGAATGAAAACGGTCATATCTCAGCCAAATATTGGTTTATAAATATGGAAAAAAAACATAAATAAGTCACAGGGTATGCAAATTAGGCAAAAATGTGTGACTTATAGGCCGGAAAATACGGTATTAGTGTATAACTTGGATCTTTTAGCGTACCGTCGGGCATTTGTTTAGCGTAATCTTAGCGTATATCTTAGATCCTTATTTATTGTTTCTTTTTACACTTTTATATTTTTGCTATTATTGGATGTAACTGGGACCTTGTGTACATAATTTCGTTCCACCTCATGCACCACATGTGATGGAAATGACAATAAACTTGACTTGAACTTGTTGATTGATGCCAGTCTAAATATTTAGCATGACATAACGCCCTTCAATGAGCTGATTACAGCTAATTTTCTTACATTTATAGACATTTTGCTTTAAGTGGGTGAAACCTGTTGGAGAGGCCTTCCTGTGACCCGTCCGGGAGGCGCCAGTGTTTCTGCGTGATGTGATATTTCTGTTCTCGTGGAGTTAAAACGATGAAAAAAGTTACATAAGACTGTCGGAGCGTTTCAATGAGCGTCTCAGATTTTCCATTCTAATATTACCAGCACATGCTGCTCTCTGATTCTCATGCCTGCTGCAGCTATTTATACTGACACTTTAGCCTGCAGCAATGTGGAGCAGGACGAGGCACGAACACCGTGAGCCGTTGTCTTTTACAGAACACTTCATGAGAACGGTGTCTTAACACAGGAAGTCTCATTTAGTTTGTGCGTGTTAAAAAACAAAGTCTGAATGTGAAAAGCCACTTCTTGTAAAACAAATAATAAAACACTCCGTTCTGTCTGTTCATACGTACTTGTATTCATCGTAGACCTCCTGCTTGGGAAGAGAGGTCTCCGGGTATTCCTCTAAATGATCCCGGATCCAGTTGAACGCATGCGTCTGCTGCGTGCGGCTCGACAACAGGGCGCTCTGGTCACTGAGAAAAAGATCGGGGTCACCGGCTGACAAAAGACAAACTTCTTCACTCACGTCTCAAACGTTCTCAGGAGAAACGCTCACATTTGTTGTATTAGTGGCGATCTAACCTCTGTCTGGAATAAAGTCACAGGCCAGGCATTTTCAGAATTTTAAGCAGGGTTTAATTTATTTATTTTTCAGTGTACAATTATAAAAACAGACAGACCACAATGTTTTACCATGACCCTAAGCGTCTGACTTTTTTGTGTATTAATAACGGACCATAAATCTCACAGCATTACAAGAAATAAATATTATTTTATCTACAACTTTGTCTTCTTTCATGTAATCATTCAGGTTAGTGGCTGTTTGAGCGTCTGAGGTGTTTTATAATGATAGTGCCCTTTTATTTTAGAAACATACAGAGAACAGGTCCCTCTACGCAATTGATACATTTTTATTCCACCAGACGACGGAGCTGGAGAGCCCTCATGCCCTGAATGGACCCACGCAGCTGGGTATGTCATTGATCCCTGGGGTGACTGGAAGATGGTGTGTGTATCTGTGCTGTCTGTGGAGGACGCAGAAGATGTGTACATTATTGGATTTATGATAAGAGGGTTTCTGCTTTTTGGAATCGGTGGATACCTTGGATATCAACGAATTAGGAAGACGTCAGCAGCAGTTTTGGCCATGGTAAAGCTGCCAGCCTTATGTGAAGGATTAATTTGTGCCTCGAGCGCTCAGACTCATGTTTACAGAGTTCAACCGCGAGCTGGACGCCATCACTGAAATCGTAGGCCGCTTGCAGCTCCTGGAATTCACCAACATGAAGGTTTCAATCTTGGAGTAAGCTAATCGAGCACGGACCGGGTGGAATGTCCACAAATCTGTCTGTTTGGATTCACCATCGAGTGAACCAGCAGAACTTGAAGTCTGACAGAAAACAGAGTCTGGCGGCCAAAACAATTGTTGTTTATCTGAATTTGGCCTTGGTCAGGCCAACTTATCTCAAATTGCTCCTGGAGAATACGTAACTAGAAGCTCTGCCTGCCCCCCCCCCAGTCGTCTGTGGCCTTATCAGAACCATGATGCTGATAGACACTGTACCATCTTATCAGAACTTTGGAACTTTCTGGAGTGTTTATGGACAACTCACCGGCTTGTCAACCTCTATGCATAAATGTATTATGATGTCGTCGTATGTTGCTGTTTTATGTTGTGAGGTCCTTTTTTTAAAATCTTTTACATTGTTTTCTGGCCAGGACATGGTGTGAGATATGAATTTTTTTGTCTTCCTCCATCCTCGTGCTCTTTTTCTCATCTGCCTGTATGTTGTATGTAACAGGTCTCTTCTCTTGTAAATGAGTCTTCGAGGCTCAATGGGAACTAAACTGTGTAAATAAAGGTCTAATAATAATAATAATAATAATAATATTAAAACAGGTGTTTTCTTACCTTTTCTCTGCGGTGCTGTTTGGACCAGAAGGCAACTGGAGGTAGAGGTAGAGCTTTTCGATGTCCGAGAACTTCTCCACATCTTGCTGTAGACATTAAAAAGGAAACAGATGACTTTAATTCCTTCTTGTCCACTAGTACAAATACATTTTCTGCCTGGACGTAAAAACTCCCAATTCTGAAAAAGTTTTGAGATTGTTAAAATGCAAATACTCTAAAAACAGAATGCAGTGATTTGAAAATCTCATAAACCCATATTTTATTCTCAACTGAACATAGTAAACGTTAGTAAATTAGTAGTACATAGTAAATTCAACCTTTATTTACACAGGTTAATCCCATTGAGCCTCAGGGACTCATTTACAAGAGAGACCTGAAAAACATTAATATATAGATATTTAGATTTATAAATATACAATGTATAAAACATTCAACCTGATAAATTGTACCGTTTTGTTTTTGAGGAGAAAAAAGTAATTTTGAATTTGAAGTCAGCGACATGAATAAATCACACTGGGAGAGTAGATGGTACAAAAAGGAAACACAAAGGAGCATTTTGCAACTAATTGTGTTAATTGTCTTAAGGTCAGTATAAAAAAAACATTTAGAGAGAATGAATCTCTCAGAAGTAAAGATGGGCAGAGGTTCGTAATAGTACAGGTAGTACAAGTAGTAAGAACTGGTAGTCGTTTATTTTAGTTTATATATAAATATAATATTTAAAGGCATTTCAAACCCTTCCCACACTCTTGCAATATTCTAAACAATGTTTCTAAACTCGAACCGCTCTAAAAGAGCACAGAATGTCATGATTTCAGCTCCCTGCCTCCGGCTGCACTCTCGGCCACGCCCACTTCTCAGCGCTGCACGGAGATCAGCTGATCAGCTGCAGGCGGAAGCTTCCCCCACAGCTGTGGGCTGCACACAGGTGCTAAATCATTTAAAATAATTTATTTTAAATAAAAATATCATGCCGATTGTGTTGCTCATCCATCAATCAGCCATTTGTGTGTCATGTCCAATCTTACTTTGAAAAACCACGATAGAGCGAGTCCACGAAAAATGAATCATGAAGTAGCGAGGGACTACTGTATACGTCATAAATCATAATTCAGTCGAGCTTTCAGTGATTCGGGACAAAACTTCACGAAAGGCAAAAAAAAAAAGTGCCAAAACAAAGAAAATGAACAAAAAATGTGACTAAAACCTTCATGAAACGTCTGGACATGACTAAATATTCATGTCACTGACATGCCTGAGCTCAGAGTTGGTTACAGCTTCATGTTTCTGCTCAGCGGGTGACACTCAAGCAGCACGTGACAAATCCAGAGCAGTAAAGAGCTGCAGACAGAGCGACGGCTGCAGGATGAATCTGATGCTTCTGCTGTAAACACCCGTCCTCGGACAAAACGCGGCCTCAGTCAGAACATTCAACACTTAAAATAAAAATAGAAAAGTTACATTAAACCATTCCTGGGTTCTGTTGTAAGATACTCCAGTTTCCTCCCACAGTCCAAAAAACATGCATGCCAGGGTAAACATCTACTGTAAATTATCTCTATGTGTTGTGTTCAGGTTCCTTATGAGCCTGAACACAACACGACTGCTCACTGGCTCCCTATGAGCCTGAATGCATCACGACTGCTCACCGGCTCCCTATGAGCCTGAACACAACACGACTCTCGCAGGCTCCTTATGAGCCTGAACACAACACGACTCTCGCAGGCTCCCTATGAGCCTGAACACAACACGACCGCTCACCGGCTCCTTATGAGCCTGAACACAACACGACCGCTCACCGGCTCCTTATGAGCCTGAACACAACACGACTGCTCGCCGGCTCCCTATGAGCCTGAATGCAACACGACTTCTCACCGGCTCCCTATGAGCCTGAACACAACACTACCGCTCGCCGGCTCCCTATGAGCCTGAACGCAACACTACCGCTCGCCGGCTCCCTATGAGCCTGAACGCAACACGACTGCTCACCGGCTCCCTATGAGCCTGAACGCAACACGACTGCTCACCGGCTCCCTACGAGCCTGAACGCAACACAACTTCTCACCGGCTCCCTATGAGCCTGAACGCAACACGACTTCTCACCGGCTCCCTATGAGCCTGAATGCAACACGACTTCTCACTGGCTCCTTATGAGCCTGAATGCAACACGACTTCTCACCGGCTCCCTATGAGCCTGAATGCAACACGA